CTGGGCTGGCGTGAATAGGGTGGCGAAGTAGAGACAGCGCTTTGAAAGGCAGCTTTTGGGTTGTGCGATCCTAAAACTGCCGGAGAGTGTTGCAGACCCACATCTGCTGGCTGGGATCTATTTGTCATTGTGGACGGGAGCGATCTGGCATTCCGAAGCAAGAAAAGTCGGTATGTATCGCCCCAGGTTCGCTGTTTGGAAAGTAAGGTAGACAAGCTTATCTTCTGCCTAAACTGTCTTCATTTTGCTGCCACGCTTCACTCTATCGTTCCCATGATGCTGTGTGATCTGTAATCGGTATGCATGATCCGAGAATCGGTAAAGGATGAAGCGGTTATATTTGGGCCCAAAGCAACACCTGCAAATTCTAGTAGGCGCGGATATATTTTGTGAAACAATTATATCAGAAAATAGTAAAGGATGAAGCGGTTATATTTGGACCCAAAGCAACACCTGCAAATTGTAGAAGGAGCGGATAGATTTTGTGAAGAAATCATCACAGAAAATTCAGGAGGTAGTGGATAAGTCCTTCTAGCTGCACGCATTGAAGACATCACTCTCGGCCCACGCATTGAAGAAGTCACTATCGGCCAACTATGCTGCTGCTTGAGCTCGCAAGGGTGTCTCCACCTGTTTGTCTCTTTCGACTGCCACAAAATTCGCAACTCTAGCCCTCTTCTGTAAGTTAAAAAGTCCAATAATGAGCTTTTGCATGGAGAGGCGTGGAAGCAGACGCGTTGTTGAAACATTTCCCTGCGCACCGATCCCTTCTTCGACTTCTTGGAGCCCTCGCGAGCAGCCACAACGACTGTTTAATACTAGACAAAATTCTCCAAAGCAGCCACGACAGTTCAGCACATCTTCTAATGCAGTTCCCTGTTTATTAACTTTCCTCATACAGCTATGTAGGTTTACACACTTTCTCTTGCCTACCTGTGCACTGCACAGTGCCAACACAATTCTCCAAAGCAGCCACGACAGTTCAGCACATCTTCTAATGCAGTTCCCTGTTTATTAACTTTCCTCATACAGCTATGTAGGTTTACACACTTTCTCTTGCCTACCTGTGCACTGCACAGTGCCAACACTAGCAGGTACCGGCGTCATACTGAGTTGCGTTAAGTGCACGCCAGTGCGTTTGTCGCTAACAAAGTTAGGCCTGATCCTTCTTGACTCACCACTTACTAAGACTGAAATGAAGGACATTTGGCTACGAATGAGGTGCCCATGATTTGCCTCCACAAATGATTGGCGAGCACCACCTACACATACTTCAATTCACCGGCAGCAGAAGGTTTAAAGCGTGAATTCATGTACCCTAGTGAGAAGTTATTTATGAATTCGTACGATGGACACGCTTGGGAGAAATCTCTCTTCTACGCATACGTGAGCGCCAGCTCCAACCAGCGTCGTCGCGCCCAACCGAGAATAGTGGAGAGTTGCTATGGAGGCAAGGTAATAGAAAGTAAGTGATTTTCAAAGCATCTTAACTCTTCTTCAATTTACATCAATCCCCCGTGCCACAGCACAAAGACTTTTGGCTGACGATGTCTTATAGGAGGCTTATAGGAGGACCCTGCAGGTCCTCCTCCATTCCATAGCAGCGGCCTATGGCTTCTTCCTAATGGAGATCCCGAAGATGCCGAGAGCAAGGAAATGCAAATATCTAGACGTTTGACGTCGCGCTAATCTGATGGTACTTCGACGCAAACAGCCGCAGCGATAGTCTTGAACCTCAGCAAATCCGTATTAGTGCTTCTTATGCTCCACAAAGGCAGTAGGGAAAGAAGCCACCATCGCTTGTTCTAGGCGTAGTTGCTGAGAATTAACCATTGCTGCCACATTGTCGTTAATAAGAAAGTTCAGTAGCAATGCCGCCATCGGGCAGGGAAGTCGGGGGTCACTGCACCTTTCTAGTGCAAAGGTGTTAGGGCTTCCTACCAGAATCAATAGCACGGAAGCAATGCCAATCTGACTCAAGACGCGATCGTACACTGACTCCGGAAATACTGCTCGACAAATCAGAATAACTCGCCCTTGTGGCTGGCTGGGGTTTACCCGGATAAGAGGTTGTATGTAGGCTGGATATAGGTTGTTCGTAAGCCTTCATGCAGGCAGAAGACTGAACGCCAAAGGCTAATCGTGAAGCGTCATCATGGCAAGGATATCAGTAATTGTTGCAAATATGTCACGAACACAAACAGAAATGCATATTTTTGACTAATTGGGTTAGCTCTCAACTGAGAGAACCCTCGGCATTGAGACACGACCAAGGCAGCTGGAATCGAAAGGACAATTCCGTATTTTACAGGTGGCCAAGTGGAAGCAGTCGTCAGTGTGGCGGTGCTTCTCTCCGACCGGGCATTTGTACATCAGTGCTGTTGGAGTCGTCGCCGGAGCCATAGAACTCCTTATCATCCTGTAACCATAGCTGCCACTGCGGGTGCGCCAGCTGGCTGTCTTTAGTCGCTCGGGTAATTATGATCTTTTTGAGATCAATTATCTCTTGCAAGGCGGGGAGTTCCCCTCTCTTGTATATAGCCAATGCCGAACTCAGTCGATTTACCAGGCTACAGAGCACTTGCGTTTTTTCCGACCCCGTTCCTTCAGGGAAGAAATAGTTGGTCCGGAATCTTTCTGCAAAATTATTCCACCAGGTGCCGGTCTTCATCTTCTTCCCAACAACCTTAATTGTACGTACCATATTGTCAAATAGCATGAACAAGGACGACAGTTTCATAAACACGTAGCTAGGAGTTTGCTTCACATTCGTTTTTCCCAGTGAATGTATTGCATAATTTATCAACATTTCGGCTTCCCCCATGAGTAGCTCCACGTCTTCAGCCGTAAGCGAAGGCTTTGCAAATACAGCGCGCATTGCCATGTATGAATGCATTGGACTACGAATGTTCAAATTTGACGACAGTGCAAATTCAGCACTGAAGGTTGTCTGCACATCCTCTGGACGTACCACTGGAAGCCGCACAAAAGGATGCATACGAATATCCCGCGGCTTTAAGGGTCCCATGAATTGGTTGCTTCCCGTCCCTACAC